GATATGAAATGCTTCTAACCTTTATTGTATCAATTGTATATCAATGCTTAATGCTAGGATATAAAATGATATAAAGATGATACTGCTAATAATTATTACATATATCAAACACTGTTCTAAGGAATTTACATTTATAAATTCATTTGATGTAGCATATGGAACTGAATTTTTAACTAGTAAATACTTTATGACAAAAAAATGAGTCTTCTCCTGTATAACTCTTGCAACAGATTATGGCTCCTGATTTACACTGGATGCCCACCTAGTTTAGGTCTCAGGATGCATTTGCGATAGGCTATTGTCTCTTTTAGTTGCAAATCCACCTTTCTATAGTTTACTTTGTAATGCTGGTGCTGATCTGCACAGCTTTCCTTTCTTCTTTTAAGATGCTTCCTACTCAGTTCTGAGAATAGAAGGCAGGATAGAGAGATAAAAAGCAGGAGAAAAAGGGAAGAAGAGCCTTCTTCAATTCATCCTAATGTTGTTCCTGCATGGGGACTGTCCTGATAATGGCCCTCCAGCCCGGCAGCAACAGTGTAACAGACTCTAAATTCTTATTGCATTTCCAGATTTAGCCGCATTGGGCTAATACAGATATTACTTCCTTCTTAAAGGTTTGGGCCCCAGCTTCTTGTGGATCTTCCTCCATGAAGATAATCCCAACCCCTTTCTTCTCTTGTGACCCCAGCCTTAGAAATGGAAGCTGTTTTTCCTTCTGGAATGCACTTGATGCCAAAAGATTCTGGGATATATTTGGTCATGTCTATGCCTTTTAATGAAATACATCCTTGCAAATGGGAAATGAAATACTAGTAATTCATGACATCAAGTCACATCATAGTTAATTAAAATAATCACTTCTAGTTCATTATAATGCAGTAAAGTACACTAAGTCTTCTACACTTAATTATTATAGCAGCTATGATGACTACAAAAACTGTGGGTGGGATGGCCTCTTCTGACTGAAGAATCTACAGACAGAAAAGTGTAAGTTTGGCATTTTTAATTCTCAGTTTGAATGAGAAGAGAACAAAAGTGTTCCGATGGCAGCCAAAATAATTTCTTAGTTTTTGTAGCTGCAGGACTGTCTTCTTTTAAAAAACAGAGGCACATTTCATTTGTGCTAATTGTAGAATTTCAATATAAATTGAAATCTTACACTTCCTATGCTACTTAGGAAAAATTTAGGACATGAATTTTGAAGAAAAATGAGGCTGAAACTTGTATGGTGACATCTGAGTGAACTCAGTTAATGCTGAGAATCTTACAACTCAAGAATTTCTAAGATTTTCTTACTAGTGAAAGGAATCCATCTTCCTGCATGTGACAAGACTTCGGATTAAGACATTTCAGTAACTGCAAGGTAAAGAACTCCAAATTAACCAGTAAGATGCTGACTAAAGGAAAAGGGTGGTAGAAGGAATTTATAAATATCAGCTACAACCATGAAGACTATAGCACATATACATATCTTAATCTTTACTGGTTATCCTTTCATAGATACAGATACATCTATATATGCATCAATGTCAAACAGATATTTAGATATATTTTCATTTGCATGTATAAAAAGGTCTCAACTGTCACCTTACTATTTTATGTAAGTTTTTTTTCATCTTAGATATTTGATAGTTTGACTGTGTCCCCTTCCAAATCTCTTCTTGAATTGTAGCTCCCATAATTCCCATTATGTTGTGGGAGGGATCTGATGGGTGATAATTAAATCATGGGGGCAGGTCTTTCCCATGCTGTTCTTGTGATAGTGAATAAGTCTCATGAGATCTGATGGTTTTATAAAGAGGAGTTCTACTACACAAGCTCTCTTGTCTGCCGCCAAGTAAGACGTCTCTGGCTCTTCCACCGTGATTGTGAGGTCTCCCTAGCCATGTGGAACCGGGTCAATTAAACCTCTTTCCTTTATAAATTACCCAGATTATGGTATACCTTGATTAGCAGTATGAGAACACACTAATAAAATATTTTGTAACGGAGTCTTTAGGAAACAGAATATTCAGGTAGGACTATGATTGTGAAAGAGTAAATACCATCACTCAGAAATAGATACTGTGATGACTGCCTAGAGATGGATACTGTAACTGTTGGGATTTTGCCTACCTCCTTTTTGGACAAATGATGAGAGTATATTTGTTTGTATGAAAGATACTTGCATCTTACTGTTGTGAAATAGTATAAATATTAATATACACAGGAGTGTGCATATGGTACTGAATAACCAAAGGAGAAAGCTATACTAGTTAGTAAGTACTTACCTGTCAGCTCTATATCCAACTTTTATCTCTATTTTAATGATACCTGGGCTGGAATTCTGTAATTTTCATTTCTTCTCTGACACAGGATTTCTGTGAGGTTCTGCTTATACCTGACGAGTCAGGAAGACAGGAGAAAAAGGAAAGAAACTGTATCTCTTTCATTGACTTACTTTTTCTCTCGATGTTACCTTTCACCTTGTGACAACAGCTGGTTTCAGTTTCCAGTTTTTTGCACTCCCAGAAGCAGCCTCATTGTGTCCTCCCAAAGTTATCAGTTTCAGGCAAGCAGCCCTTCTTCAGAAGCTGAGCCCAACTATGAAAGTGTTCTCCTTCAGGCTCCTGAGATTTCAGCAGCCATGGACAAATCACGGAGGTCTGAGATCTGGCTCAAAGGAGCCTCTTCTCAGAGGGAATAGAATAAATAGTGTCTACTGTGTGTTGTCTAAATTGTTTTCTGGAAAATGCTACTCCCGGGATTTCCTCCATGCAAAATGATACTTAGAATTACATAAATTTGGGAAATGTTACAGTATTAGAGATTTATAGTGCACATAAGTATCATGGCTGTGAGAAGTCCAGTGGAAAAGACATTTGTTTCACTCTGATTCAACATCTCTCCTTCAGTTTTTTTTTTTTAACTAGGGAAACTGTTTTATTTTCACTTAACCACTATTATCATCCCATGAGATACATTGAGAAACAGCATTTCTGGAATCCTGAGAATTTGAAAGTTTTACAATTGAATAAAGTTTTTCCTTGAAATATCCCTTCATAGGGGAGGAATACAAGATCTATAATTCTTTACTTATTGTATCTATCTGTTCCAGCTCTAAGCATAAATGCTGACTGAGCATAATGAATGAGATGTAGAATGAATGCTGAGGAGAGACATAGGTAATGTCAGAACCCCAGGAAAATTATTACAAAAAGTGACATACGAGTGAAACAATTACTATAAAATATAAGAGGGGATAAAGAACTGGGTCATATCATATTAAATGAGAACATGTATAGGTACGGTTAAACAAATAAGCTATGGATTCACAGTGCTTGAGTTTATCAGTTACAGCACTTGAGTGCTCTTTGATTTTGAACAAAATTATTCAACTTCTTTAGCCCTAGTTTCTTCATCTTTTAATGGAGATAGTAGGAGTATATTCTTTACAGGTTCGTGAAGTAGATTAAATGTGACCTAACACATAAGATGATTAACACCCACCTGATATTCAATTATTTAATACACCCTGTATAATTACACCAATTTTATTTGGGTAGAAAAGAATAATTACAAAACAAACATACAAGGTTCAAAACGAATGTCTCTTTTTTTTTTTTTTTTTTTTTTTTTTTTTGAGACGGAGTTTCGCTCTTGTTACCCAGGCTGGAGTGCAATGGCGCGATCTCGGCTCACCGCAACCTCCGCCTCCTGGGTTCAGGGAATTCTCCTGTCTCAGCCTCCCGAGTAGCTGGGACTACAGGCACGCGCCACCATGCCCAGCTAATTTTTGTATTTTTAGTAGAGACGGGGTTTCACCATGTTGACCTTGTGATCCACCCGCCTCGGCCTCCCAAAGTGCTGGGATTACAGGCTTGAGCCACCGTGCCCGGCACGAATGTCTCTTTTAAAAGCATCTAAACAGCTCCCTCATTCTATAGATGAGGATATAGCTGATTCTCCCAGAGACAAAGATATTGTGCTAAGGAGCTAAATAATACAGAAGTTGGACAGAGACCTTAGTCTCCTCACCCTTAGTAGAGTGCTGTTTCAATTAAACTTAAAGTTGTTTAGCTGTAGTATGTTTGCATTTTTCTGGGTCAAAGTAAGAGTAGCAGTATAGAAAACATTTTTTTTTCTGAGTTCTGGTCTCAAGGTGATCTCTCTGATGTTTAAGACCCAGGAGCATATAATGAGGGGTTTGTCTGTCAAATCATACCCCATACTTTCTCCTACTCTTAGTTTCTATTTCCCTAAAACAATTCTATATGGGAGAAATACTGTTACAGTGAAGCATCAGGAAAGAATGGGAGCAATGGAAAGGGAGAAGAGTAGTCTTATTCATTGTTTCATTGTTGATGGAGCAGGAAACAGAGGAAAGATTAACTATTTGAATATTAAATTCAAGTCTTTTATCAGGGCTAGGTAACTGAGTCTGGCTGTCCCATTGTTCATGGGGCAATAACATTGGGGTGGAGATAACCACTTCACTTCTCCATACTTCTCTAGTTTCAAGAAACATCCAGAGAGCAATGTTTACTGTTGCTTTATTTAGTGTCATAATTAGAAATGTGGAAAACACAAGGGATAACCATAGTCATAATATACAAGGTTTCCTTATACTGACTACTCTTTTTCTACAACCTCATAGAATTACAGTAAATGTATTATTTTAAAAGGAGAATTTAGTAAGATGAAACACTGAATTTTAGTCCAGCTACAGCTATGTACATACGTGTACATAATTTATGAGCTATGTTTAATTTATATGTATACAAACACCACATTTATTGAGGTAAAAGAGCACAGCGAGGTTAAAAACAAATGGCTAAGATCAACGTAGGCTTTACAATGCCACTGAAAGCCATTTTACTAGCATAAAGGCCTCCAACATGCTGGTATTAACCTACTGATAAATATGTAGACTGTATTTATATTTTGCTCTCTTGGGAACTAAGCGAAACCAAACATATTTTAAGGCAACCTTTGGAAGTGTCAGCATTTCTTATTTTATCTGCCTTGTGGTAAATGTTATTCACAGTGACAATTAAAAATATTGAACGATGAAGAATAAAGGTTGACAAATTCATCTTGAACCCATTTTATCCTCATAAAGTTTTTCTCTAACATACAGAAAGTCATATTTTTCAGCAATCTTCAACTTTCTATTTTGAGGAGTAGCATTATTGCTTTTTTGCTCACACATGCTTACTGAAGCTGCATTACAGATTTCCAATTTAATTTCATGTTCTGAGAAGCATCTACACAAGTCTCAATGCTATTTTAAAAAGTAACACACAGGAAACAGGAAGCAAGAACTTAGAGAATACAGGTTGTCCTGGATGCAAGCTATTCAACACTGCTGCTCACTTCCATTGTATCTTTGGAAAGATAAACTATCCAGTACACAAGGTTGAATCCTGCAAATGCAACTGGGAAGAGAATTCGAGAATACTGGTCTATTTTACTGGTGCCTCCAAAGGCTGGCAAGAGTGGTGGGGGCGTGGCAGGTGTAGATTGCAGGATGGGCGTTCTAGTGAGAACTTTATTTGCCTCAGGAGATGACACTATCGGCAAGGACAGAGAAGTGATTCTTTTCTTCAGATGATATTTGGAATCAGGATGCTGTGGAAAGAAGACAAATATTAGGTCTAAATAAAAGAATAGATGTTGCTTAATTGCTTATTTATTTGTTCTTTCACCTTTGACAAATATTTATTGACTACTTTCTATGTAAGGTCAAACATCAACGAATTCTCAATAGTATGTGATGGTGTTACTTTTCCAAGTAAGGCTTAAAATACACTGTAAAAGAATTTACTTGCTTCCATCTGACATTCTATTACTCAGTACATCATCAAATGACACAAAGCATGTCCCATGTCCTAGAACCTATGATAAGCATTGTATCGTTAGGGAAAGACGAGCCAGGTTGCAGAGGCATAGCCACTTCTGGTTGTGCATTAGTCTGTAAAGCAATGAGTGTGGGCAATGGTGTGTGCTGGGAAGAGGGGTGAATTCCAATTTAGAGTATGTGGACACTAGTACAAAAAAATCACAGCTTGGTTTATTAATACTATTCTTCCATACATATTCCCAGCCTACATTCTCACCTTTGCACACATCTTTGCACACAAGCTTGAATTAGCTAAGATTAAAAATAAAATAAAATAAAATAAAATAAAATTAGCATTTGTATGCCAAAGGCCAGTGACATGGAATAAATATCCTTAAATTGAATTGGATGACCGTTCATGCTTTGAAATATACCTGCCTCTTAGCTCAGAAATTCTGTATTGTACACTTCTTACTTCCCATTCAGAACTCTCTAACTAGTGTTTCTCTATCCTCAGTCACTGAAAATGATTCATTTACTAAACTCAGAATTGTTATATGTTCCTTTCTATCACTAAACTTCCTGTTTCACTGAAATCATGACTATCAACTATAGTCTTGAAAGGGATGTTTAACACAATAACTGGCAAGTGAGGTTAGACTCCAGAGAGGGGAAATGCCTTGTCCATGATGGCAGGGCTAGCAACAAATTCTACTGCTAGTTTCATCCCAACATTGTTCTCATCTTTATTCTATAAAGTATTGGGCCTAGTTCAGAGTCTCTGATTCTGTTTGATTTAGATTCCTTTCATGCTGTTGGAGTCTAGGGGGCCTTCCTCTGATTCCTATCTTTTCTTGTCTGCATCCTGTAACAATCACCCTCCTTGTGACCAGCTTCTCCTTGCTGGGGCTCTGTCTTCAAACACTTGCTGTGCATTACCCCTGATCTTGTAAAATGGCCTTGTTTCCTCCCTGGCAGCAAAATCACCACTTTGCTGCCTGGCAGGGTATGTGACCCATGTGGGCAAACTCCTGTGGTTTTAGCCAGAAACCCTGCAGCAACAGGGTAAGACAGCTGCCTCCTTTGTTCTGGTTGAGCCACGGGACCAAAATGACCTGCCGATGTGGCGACATTTGGACTGCAGGGACAAAAACTCCAAAAACTTCTTTTCTATATTCCCTCTCCTGATTTTGCTATTTGATTTGCTGTGAAACTTGCTGGGTATCTAAATAATTATAGTTCTCATAGAAAGCTTAAGTTCACTGTTTTTAGGGGCCATGGAGAAATCTTTCTTTACCAAAAGCAAAAACGAACAGTGTAATCAAGATTTGATTTGAAAATGCCACTGTGAATTCCAAACGAGGGATATCATTCTTATCTATTGGCTCTTATCTATTATCGTTCTTATCTATTGTTCTTATCTATTGGTATTCTGGATAGAATTAAGCAAGTCATAGGTTTTGGAGGTAGAAGAGAGTTTAAAATATCAGAAGGGCTAGTATGCTGCTCTTGAAGAGGAAAGGAGGGAAACTTTGTATTAAAAATAGATGAGCCAGGCACAGTGGCTCGCGCCTGTAATCCCAGCACTTCGGGAGGCCAAGGTGGGCAGATCATGAGGTCAGAAGTTCAAGACCAGTCTGGCTAACATGGTGAAATCCCATCTCTACTAAAAATACAAAAATTAGCCAAGTATGATGGCAAGTGCCTGTAATCCCAGCTACTCAGGAGGCTGAGACAGGAGAATCACTTTGAATCTGGGAGGCGGAGATTGTACCATTGCACTCCAGCGTGGGGACAGAGCAAGACTCCATCTCTAAAACAAAACAAAACAAAACAAAACAAAACAAAACAAAAAAAGATGACAGCTGAGGACTACCGTGCCCAGGGTCACCAGGCTGTGTGGGGACAGAACTAGAGTAACGGTCGCAGTGCTTGCTGCCTCACCTAGAGAGCTTAGAACCATTTTTCAAGAATTTTCTATCATGTTTCTCAGACTCTAAATTTTCGCCTATTAAATATATCATTAAAATATTATCTACCTGAAAGAGCAAAAGTTGTCACTGTTTCAACCCCCAAAAAGAGCCATCCTCCTCCCACACATGGAACACCAAAATACTTTCCTCTAGCAAAAGTTTCTAAGAATTACGATGGAGTAGAAAGAAACCAGCTGTCAGAGCAGAGTTTCTTACTATACTCATTTTGACTTTTAACAGCATGCATTATCTGTCTGAAACATGTTTTTCTTTCCATTTTAGGTAGAACGAGGGAAGACATGCCTAGTTCATTGGAATAAAGCTGTCACTATAAAACAATAAATACCATAAAAATGTAAAGCCTTGCTTATTCTCCCCTCCATTTTTTTTTTTTTTTTTTTGAGACGGAGTTTCGCTCTTGTTACCCAGGCTGGAGTGCAATGGCGCGATCTCGGCTCACTGCAACCTCCGCCTCCTGGGTTCAGGCAATTCTCCTGCCTCAGCCTCCTGAGTAGCTGGGATGACAGGCACACGCCACCATGCCCAGCTAATTTTTTTGTATTTTTAGTAGAGACAGGATTTCACCATGTTGACCAGGATGGTCTCGATCTCTTGACCTCGTGATCCACCCGCCTCGGCCTCCCAAAGTGCTGGGATTACAGGCGTGAGCCACTGCGCCCGGCTCTCCCCTCCTTTTTAGAGATGTTGTAGGTGCCGTTATTTGTGAATCTGTGCATTGTCATAGTGTCACAAAAGACTTAGTGAGGATTGCCAAATAATTATGGTCCAGACATCAGAGGGATCATTCAGGCCCAAACACCATGAAAATTTTAAGTAAAATGGATACCGTCATTTTACCTAAATTAAAAAATTAAATTAAAATTAAATTAAATTGAAATTAAAGGTCTCCTACATTAGCATTCCCCTTTTCCTCATCTACTTTGGCAAACAATCTCTGTGGAGGGTTCTCCAGGAGCTGAGAGAATGAGGAGGACCCAAAATCCCTAGATTACAGTTTCATAGCTACTAGTTGCTTGCAATATGATTTAAACACCTCATAGATGCCATAGACTCTAATTCTCCCTAAGCTTCAAGTTTCTATCTGTGAAAGTAGGGACAAATATTAATTATTATGTAAGTCTTTTCCAGTGTTTTTAATAATTTGAGGAAAATGTCTGATATACAGATAAACACACAAATATATATGTGTATGTATATAAATATTATATACATACATACACATGAATAGATACACATATATATATACGTGTATGTACATAAATACATACACATATATATATACACATGTATTTTTTGCTCAGGAATCTTAGCTATAACTATTTTTTAAATCATTTGCAACATATGTCTGCTTCTCATTCTCACTACTCACCTATCTTTATTTTTTTTGTCTGAAAAACATCTACCTGTCACCCATTTTTATTTTTCCCTCACCTCTTTTGATACCAAACTCATTAACACCTACCATCGCTGATTACTCTAGCCTTTATGTATTTTTCTGCCTAGTTATTGTGACTCTTATAGATATTATTATTTTCTCTCTTGTAGATATAATTGTTTCTGTTGTGGCTTATCTCCTTTCCTAGCATGAAATCTCCTTAATGGTGGGAGACACATCATTCATATGTATAAGCATGCCACAGTGCCTAGCAAGTACTTAGAACACAGTATTTGTTTAATAAACAAATGCTGAATCAACAAATGAAAAAAACTAAACATTTTCCAAGATTTGTTGGAGGAGGTAGACAAAGAGAGGGGTGAAAAATTTTATGATTATGTTACATTGTATTTTAATAGTTTTATATTACATTATAAGTACCAGTTCTAAATGCTTGTTGTTGACAAACATTATAAAGCAATTTTCAAACATTATTTTACTAATTTCTTCAAAAATCCATAATGTCATATTAATCTTCATTTGAGAGATGAACAAACTCAGGCTTAAGCAGGAAGCTCACTCCTGCTCATAAGTAGCAGGACCTGAATTCAATTTCCCTCCAATGCCACAGACCACACTCTGAACAATTATTATGCTATTCTTCCTATCAGCTTTAGGGTTTGGGGCACAGTTTCTCAAGCTCAGAACTACTGGTGTTTTGGGGCCAATTACTCTTTGTTATGAGGACCAACCCTGTGTTCTGGGATGTGGAGCAGCATCACTGGCCTCTACCTACATGATGTTAGCCACCTCCACCCCAAGTTATATCTCCAGACACTGCCAAATGTCTTGGGGAAAAATAGCTCCCCGTAGGAAATCACTGGCTTAGATTCACAACTGTTGCACAGGATTGATGGGGGAATTTCTAACAGGTTAAGGAAACGCAAGAGGCCTGGCTACCCTACATGCTGGAAAATCAGCTGCTAAGTAACTGGCAATTGGCAACACATGGAGATGGAACATCAGCCTAGGAGGAACACGTTGAATTTCTAAAATGAAAAGAAAGCCAATTTTGTGAGCCGTTTAAGCTACAGGTTTGCATCAGTCTCTGCCTGCTCTATTGAAAGCATAGCAGCTTCAGCTGAGGGTAAAATAGGCTTTTGTCAGTGTCCAGATGAGGGCTCAGCTTGAGGCTGTCACTGTTTTGAGTGGAACACCTGTGGTTTTGAATTTTTCCAGGGCTCCCCTGCTGCTGAGTGCCATCCTGCTTTAGGTATTTATAGAGCACTGCTTTGTTTCAAGTAACGCCATATTGCAAAGGTACTTTAAGTCACACTGGACTTTATGACAATCAACTATATGATAGAAGAAGAAGGTGTTTAGGAAGTATGTAGACAAATCTGTATATGGAATTCAATGA